CGCTCTATGGGTCAGAATTGACTCGATGGCACTTAACAGCAACAACAACAAATGTTAGTAGCTGTGTGCTTACCGTTTTTGAGGAATTTCCCAACTGTTTTCCACAGCAGCTGTGTCCGATGTTGCATTTACACCAGCAGCAGTGGAGGCTCCAGGATTATTGTCTGTGTCTTTTTCATTTGGTCTCTCGTGTCTTTGTGTCATATTGCCAGAAGTCTCAGCTAGTTCTCCTTAACTATTCTTTTTAATAGAGTTTTCCCAAAGCATTCCGCTTAGTTTTTATAGAAAGAGCAACTTTTTCTGCCTGCATTCATACCTTGTTATACAATTATAAGAGTAAGTAAAGCTGGCATTAACCTGTGTGAGGCACACATGCATCCCTGGCTAAACATAGGACTTCCTTGGGCAGGCAGCAGGGAGCCTAGGGCACCACTCCTGGGACTGGAAGCTCATTTGAAGTGTTGGCTACTGGGAAGTCGACTGAGGAACCTTCTACTGTTACCTCTGCCAAGTGTGTGGAGTGGTAGGGGAAGAGTTTCCCTGGGTTGTTTCTTAGCTTGATTGCAAAGTACGGGGGGTGTGTGCCCGCTTCCAGAACCAGAGTGTGGCATGGGCATTGAGGAAGGTGCTTCCTCTTCAGTGAAGTAGGGAAGGCACAGTTAGTCAGAGGCCTAGTAGAGACAAATGACCAGCCCTGGAGCCCCAGCTCTGACCCCCCAGCATGTGAACCCACTCCATCTCACCACCTGTGTGTGAACACACCAGTGAGTGTGAACCCACTCCATCTCACCAGCTGTGTGTGAACACACCAGTGAGTGTGAACCCACTTCATCTCACCAGCTCTCCACCTCTCCCCACATGACAACGGATGGCATGGAAATCTCCGACTTCTAGATTTGTGGCTAAGAACTGTTTCTTGGTCTGACAGGCTCAGGAAACAAGCTGGGCCTTGAGATCAGGCCTTCTGACTTCAAGCCCCAGGCCCCAGAAACCCAGAGCTGTTTAGAAGGAATTGAGTTTCGGTGGCTGTGTATGTGTAGAGATGTCTTGGAAAGCTGCCAGAGGCCTGATGGCCCCAGTTCTGGGTGCCGTCTGACGTCTCGGTGTCCCCTTAAAGGGCAGGACACACCTCAGAGGGATATCCACCTCTCCAAAGCTAGTATGTATAAACTGGGCATCATGATGCCCATACCAGGTGTGTGAACACTTGAGCCAGTACCAGGAAGCACTCCGTGCACTAAGCGTAGGTGTGCTTTTCCCACAAGGGTCCTAGGACACCACGTGGATTAAACAAGGGAATGACACCCGGCCCTGGGCAGTACGAACTGCCTTGGAAAGAAAAGGCATTTTTAACCATTTTCTACCGTGACACTCCTAAGGTGGAGTTATAAGTCACACCTGTTCAGAACTGCGCATGCGGGAAGCTGTGGGGCAATAATGCGCTATTCAAGGGAATCGATTTCCAGAGGAAGGGGCATTTCTTCTGGGTCTTGAAAGGTGGTGGGGAGGTTGTCAGATGAGAAGCAGGTGGTAGTCTAGGAAGAGGCATCCAAGTGTAGTCTGGAGCATGGTGCGTTCAGAGTACGGAAAAGTCTTGCGGCTCAAGGTGGCTAGAGGGCAGGAAGATAGACACTGTGTTGCCAAGTCAGTTCCAACTCATAGTGACCCTGTCTAGGGGTTCCAAGGAGAGACTGGTGGGTTTGAATCACTGACCTTGTGGTAGCAAGTGCCATCACCTCATCTCAGAATCGTAGTGACCTTCTGAATAACCGAACGTGGCCCAGCCCTGCATCGTCCTCACAATAGTAGGTACGTTCGAGCCTGTTGTTAATCCATCTAACTGAAGAATCACCCTGGGAATTTCCATAATGGAATCCAGTGAGTTGGTTTCCCAGGTTGTGGAAGAATGAAGCAGCAGAAAGTTTGCTGAGGTTGCCCCGGGGATACCTCGCTTCAGGACTGGGAGAAGAAAAGGGATGAAGTGGGGAAGAGAATTCTTTACCCAGCGGCCTGTCTTTTTGTGCCTGCTGAGGTGGTGGGTGTGTGCCATTAAGTAGATTCAGACTCACAGCGACCCTGACTGGGGTTTCCAAGCCTGTAAATCTTGATGGGAGCAGAAAGCCTCATATTTGTCCCTCACAGCAGCTGGTACATTCTAACTGCAGACCTTGTGGTCAGCGCTCCAGTTTGTAATTCGCTACGCTACCGGTGCCCTCTAGCGCCTCCTATTGGTAGAGTCTAGCAGGAAGCCGGCTGGCAAGGGAGGCTGGGAAATGTGGTTTGGAGACTTTTAGCCCCAAAGTCACAGAGCAGTTTGCAGAGATGATGGATGGCCTAATCTGAAATCTTGCCCTGATTTCACAGACGCTGACGGTAGAGAAAGGTGGGAAGATGCCAAGCAGAGCTGGCAGGAATATTACTGGGAAGGCTAAGGAATGGTAAAAGACTAGGGTTGCCGCATGTTGAGTCTAAGATGCTTCTCTAAAGGTGACTGACGCGCACTGGTAGGATAGTCAGAGACTCAGAGGAGTTGTGAAGGATGCTGCTTACCCTTACAAAACCCCGGGTGCATGGCAACATCTTACTCGTTAAAGCTTGCTAATAGGATCGCCTCAGATGTGTTCAGGAAAGGACTTGTTACTGTTATTCCTAATGGAAGTGTATGAAGGGCTTCAGAAAGTTCTTGGAGGTTAAAAGATAATGGAATATTTCCACAGATTTCTTAAGCTTCTCATACCTCTCATAGGAGCGTGATTTTGACTTTTGTATTTCATTAGCTTTACTTGAGTATGTTACTGATCTTTCTAATTTGATAGCAATTCATTGTAAAAACCTGTTAGACCTCCATGACCTTGTCCTAATTCCAGCCACGTAGCTTCGTGCCATAAAAACAAAGGACAGACACACACTAGACCTGTTTGTAGGCATTGCTTCGCTCCTTTTCAAACACTTAGACAAAGATGCAAGTCAGGCAAGCTGGAGCTGCCGAGAATTAATGTGCTGTGTGTGCTATGCAGATGGATGCCACAGAGGCGCTGTTTCTTGTATAATTGTGCTCCAGGCTACACATGACCACAGCTGGCGCCATCCGATGGTGGTGGTGGTGTTTGTGTACCATGGAGTCGGTTCCAGCTCACAGTGACCCTGTATAGGGTTTCCAAGGCTGTAAACCTTTACAGAAGATTGCTCCTGTGGAGCAACTGGCAGATTCAAACCATTGCAGCCGCCCAACTCATAATCCACTGTGGTACCATAGCTCTTTCCACCCAATGGTGGCACTGGAATTTCCCAACATATATGCAGTTTATGACGTCACCTGTACTAGCCTAAACATATTGTACTGCCCCAGACTCTATCCACTTCCGCCCAGCCTTCCCAGTGTTGCTGGACAGCACTTCCTACCACACAGCTTAAAGAGGGCTGCTCTGCAGCGCACGCACCCTCACTAGCTCCACGTTCTTTCCTGAGTTAAGGCTCAACTGCTCCATGCTTATCTATTGCTTTCGTTAACATACCTTTCTCTGATCGTCTGTTCTTCTTGCTCCTAGTAGCTCTCTTGTTGAAACCCTACTAATCTTCCGACACCTATTCTATTAACCTTTGTAGACCTCAGGTTCCTGCATGGTGCTAAGACGAATGTCACAGAGAGGCCGTTTTTAGTCTCATTGTGTTACTTGTTTACACGTGGCCACTGCGGTGATGGTGGTTGGGGCTGGGTGCCAAGGAGTCAGTTCCCATTCATGGTGACTGTCCCGGTAGAGATGACTTTGCTCCTTCCCTACTTCCTATCCACACAGTGGGGAGTCCCTGAGGGCAGAGTGCAGAAAGCACAGGATCTTTCATACCTGCAAACTTTCCAAAGATTGGCATGTCTCTGGCGTCTCCACTGCATGGTAACTTCTGGGGAACAGAGACCTGGCATAGAGACAGAACAGTTACCAGTCAGATGTTCCCATGAGCAGAAATGGTAAACTAGACAGCAGTAGCGTTTGTTTTAGGTGATTGATGCTTCTCAGTTTACTCAAGCAGCATGCTACCTTTTAAGGTCACCTCCATAGAGTAATATTGTACAGGATGTATGGACTCCTTGAAGCTGTAAATATTAAATAGATATTGTGTATCTAACCCTTAACAGTAGCCATTGTGTCAGTTCCGACTCATGGCAACCCGACACGATGAAGCAGAACTGTCCCATGGGGTGGAAGCAGACTGTAATGTTTCTCCCATGGAGTGTCTAGTGGACCGCTAGAATTGCAGACCTTTCAGTTAGCAGCTGAGCATTAAGCCTGATGCCATAATTGAATGTTACGGTGTTCATATGAAATATTTGAGCAATGTTGAGTTATGGGCTTATCGGATTTTTTCAGCACATGCCTTCGCGGTGTCTTCAGCACCCTCATAGACATTACACTGCTCCAAGGAAGACTGTAAGATGTGGAATTCCCCAAATTTATTGGACTGTAGAAATTTGGGTGGCCAGTTTGGAACATCTTCTGGGTCTGGGGTTGAGCGCACTTAGGGAGTGCTGTTTTAAATAGTGCCCCTTTTGAGGCATGCTCTCCGGTTAGATGATAGGAATATAACTGAAGACTTCCCAGGATGTGTTTTTCTTCAGAAAACCAGCATTTGGTGTAAAGTGTGGGAGCCAAGATCATGACGCCTCGGAGACAACCCTTCTTCATGGAGCTAACTTTTGTTTTTTAAGTTTTTATTGTGAACTGAGTGGTAGTTTACATGGGAGAACATGGGTTTCACACTCATGGCTTCATTGCAATGATTACCGTTCCTTCCATGCATCATCATTCTCCAACAGGATTTGCTTCTATTCCTCTGGGTTTATTTGTTTTGTTTTTCTTGGGTGGTTGTGGAACTTTTAAAAGTGTCTTTGATGTCCTGGCATATAATCCAAGCTTATTGTGATAATGAACTTTTATAGCTGCCAGCCATGTAAGCAAGCTGTCCTAGGTCTCCCTGATTGTATCTATGTCTCTGTCTCTCAGTTCCTCCCACAGACATCCCATTCTGCCAACCCCACATGCATGACTCCGCATGGCATTGTTCTCCACCAGACGCTGGACTTTGATGACTTCATCCCCCCCATCCCGCCCCCACCTTACTACCCTCCGGAATACACCTGCACGCCCACGACGGAAGCCCAGAGGTTTGTCTTCCCTGTTATCTCCAGGACTGGGACCCAAGCCCCAGGGAGACATAGCAAAAGCAGGCTTTGGGTGGTTGGCAGTAGATACTGCCACATTTCTCTTTTTGTGGAGAAATCCAGCAAGTTGTAAAAAGTTTTGAAGAAAGAGTAGAGATTGAAGGTGAAACGAAAAATTGTCTAGAAATAGAGCCTCTTTATTAAAACGTATGTGGTGTGCTGAGAAGGAAAATCTAGCCGGATCAGATTAGTTCTATTTTGTTCTAGTGAAACACAAAACTGCTATCAGATGATAGCCATTAATATAGCATGTAAAATTTAATGACAGGTTTATAATGTAATGGGCAGGGCCATAGAGTTTGTTGAAAATGTTGGTGTCTTTATAGGAAACACACACACACAATCAAGAGTTTAAACTTCCCAGAGAATTAGGCTTTTATTTCACACGTGTGCCAAGTGTTTGAGGAGGGAAGACCTACCTGCAGCTGGGCCCCTGTTCTGTCCAGATGACACCACGTGCTTCTGCCTTTTCAGGGGCCTGCACCTGGACTTTGCTCCCTCCCCCTTCAGCACCTTGTATGATGTCTCCATCAACAGCCCTGTCCTACTCTACCCTGCTGAACTTCCTCCACCCTACGAGGTCGTGGTGAACCAGAGTATGGTCAGTCAGGTAAGGTGGGGTCCCATTTGAGACTGAGTCCTACGCAGTGCTTTGGGGATCTTTCAGACCTGCCCTGAAGCAGTGAAACACTCATGTGTGGCTTGTGTGTGGTTCTGGGACCACCCTACCCTGTACAGAACCTGCCGCCTGTTAGCACCGTGCATCTCAGCTCTCTGCAGTGTCAGCGCCATGTGGGATGCTGTCCCCCAGCCCCACACTGTAGCAGAACCACCAGTTACAGGATGTAGTCTGGTTGTGCTGCAGAGATGCCAACACCAGCCAGGGGAAGCATATCTGGACGGATACCTTATAGGCTACCAGCTGGGGTGGCACTGTGGGTTAATGCGCTGGACTGCAAAGTCGGTTAAACCCCAAGGTCGGCAGTTGAAGCTCACCAGTCGCTCCTTGGAAACCCTATATAGAGTCACTATGGGTTGAACTCGACTCGACGGCACTTCATAATAACAACCGCCAACCTCCAGCTCAGCTGAGTTGTGGCCAGCATCACAAGTCAGGTGTATCTGAATTTAGTAGTGGGGGTACATGCAGGGGAAATGGTGTGGGTTCTTCCCCATGGGCAGAGAGCCCTGGGATGGATTTTGGTACCTGGATGTCCTACTTCATTACCTAGGGACCTCTGGATTCAGGAAGGAACTTCACAGCCACCATCTAATGGGGAGGTAAGAAAGCAATTCCAGTGCCTGAGTCTGGCCTGGGCCAGGAGGTACCTTAGCACCCAGGTGCAAATTCTCAGAACTCCTTGACAGGTGCTTGATATATTTTGATGAGCTTCAGTTTCCTCATCTATAAAATAAAGAGCAGAGGAAAACCAAACTCCTGGGTTGAAATGGGATGAGCACTCCGATATACCAGCATCGTATATGGCCGTAGTGTAAGTAATGAACCCAGCAGCTGCCCTTCTTAGATATTGTTATTGTCCTAGTCATCATCATCAATAATGAATGACCCCAGCCAGGCCATGAGATGTGAATATCTTGGGCCCATGATTGGGAGCGTTGTGGTCCTGGCGTGGCTGGGCAGTCCAGGAGTCCAGAGGCTGTGGGGAGGCAGTAGGGATGGTGATGTTCAGGGAGTTCAGGGAATGCACCAAGAGGGTGGGCTCCAAACATTGAGCAATGGCCAATGGATAGAACTCATTGGGAAGACAGATGGTTCAAAATTGAATGCCCTGTAGTTTTGACGGAAAACCAGTTGGAGTGTTTGAGAAAACTGATGCAGCACTGGAGGCGCTCACTCATCTATGCCAAGCAATTTGGAAGACAGGTACTTGGCCAACCAATCAGAAAAGATCCATGTTTATGTCCATTTCAAAGAGATGTGACTCACTGGACTGTGGAAATCATCAAACAATATCATTAACATCACCTGCAGGTATAATTATTTTGAAGATACAGTTAAAAAGGTTGCAGCGGTTGCCAGATTCAGAAGAGAACTTGGAACAAGGAATTTCATTGCTGATGTCAGATGGATCTTGGTTGTAAGCAGAGAATAGCAGAAAGAATGTTTACTTGTGTTCTATTGACTGTGTGCATCATAACAACGTTGTGAAAAATGGGTATTCCAGAACGTTTGATTGTGCTCATGAGGAACCTGTACAAAGACCAATTAGTAGCCATTTGAACACAACAAGAGGACACTAAATGGTTTAAAATCAGTAAAGGTGTGCATCAGGGTTGTATCCTTTCCCCATACTTATTCAATCTGTATGCTGAGCCAATAATCTGAGAAACAGGAAAAGCATGACATCAGGATCAGAGGAAGATTCATCAACAACCCTCGATATCCAGATGACACTACCTTATTGCTAAAAGGAAAGATAAATTGAATTACTTACTGATCAAAGACGACATCCTTCAGTATGGATTGCACCTCAGTGTGAAAAAAGTGAAATCCCTCATAACTGGACCAAGCAATAATATCATGAAATTTAGAGTAAAGGTTGAAATTGCCAAAAACTTCAGTTCGCTTGGATCTATTACCAATGCTCATGGAAGCAACTGTCAGGAAAGCAAACGGTATATTGCATTAGGCAAATCTGCTGCAAAATACATCTCTAAGGGACTAGAGAGCAAAGATGTCACCTTGAGGACTAAGATGTGCCTGACTCAAGCAGAGATGTTTTCAAATCACCTCACATGCATGTGGATGTTGAACCAAGAATAAGGAAGACTGTAGAATAATCTGTGTTTGAGTTATGGTGTTGGAGAAGAATACTGCCAAAAGAACAAACAACTCTGTCTTGGAAAAAGTATACTCAGAATGTTCCTTAGAAGTTCCTTGGTAATACTCCGTCTCATATTTTGGACCTGTTGTGTAAAGTGAAGGGTCGGTGAAAAAGAGGAAGACCCCTAACAAGATGGATTCACACAGCGGCAGTAACAATGGACAAACACAGAACAACTGTGAGGAGAGTTGGAACTGGGCAGTGTTTTGTTCTGCTGTGTATAGAGTTAACCTAACAACAACAACAACAGTTTACAGATCATACTTAGAACCTTACCCCCTGAGTTTTTCAATAGCTAGGGAAGCTGTGTGAACAGGTTGGACAGGTGTCCCGCCCCTGATTGGAAGGCTTGTCTGACTCTTTCCAGGGTCTTTGGGGGGTAGCCCGCATGTTGGGGTTGGTCCTTGGCCTACCACTGCCTAAAGAGGTACAAGCTGTTAGAAACCATTTGTAGATGGAGAGACAGTTATGCCCATGAGGTGCCTACCAGGATCTGGGAACAAAGGTATGCTCTACTGTACAGGCTGGGGGTTAGGGAACAAATACTCACATTCTCAGGAAGCACCAACCAGACTCACCTCCTGCTGAGCCAGGTGGCTGTTGGCTTCTGCACACTTCAGGAGAAATATCTGCCATGGAAATGTTCCTCCTTCCAGGGTACCAGATGGCACTTAGTGACGCCCTCAAGGCCTTTGCCTCTCAGTCCACTCCAGCTGCTCTTCTGACTTCTCTCCTCCCCCTTGGCCAAACATTTGAAAGACCCAGGCGTTCCCAACGTATCCGCCTGGAGCAGCGGCAACAGCAACTTTGAAGGAGACACACACACCAGCGCCACCACAAACGCCCAGAAACCCTGGGAGAGGTCTAGCAATCTACATTTAGTCAGCCCTCCACCCCAGGGGATGCTGATGTGCATTAGAGACAAAATTCACTTGTCCACACACACTCTCGGGTATCCCTTGTCTATCCACCACTAGCGTCTGTCTCAGAGCTACCACGAGATCCTCGGTGATGAGCTAGGTGGACCCATGGGGGTCTCTGGGCCTCACACCCTAAATGCTGACTTCTGCCATCTAGGCTTTCTGGGAGACCCCTGGTACTTGGCCTGCTTTGAAGCTTGTCTGTTGAGAATTGAGTTCTTCTTGCACCCTCAGCACTGGACTTAAAGCCACAAGGCCAACAGATCAAACCCACCAGCTGCTATGAGTTGAAAACAACTTGCGGACACTTAACAACACCAACAGCATCACCATGTAAAGTCTGCATCCTGAAGACCTCTACCCGCCCCCCACTGCTCCCCTTCCTTGCATGGACACCCCACTCCCTCGCTGGTTCCTCAGGTTCTGTGGGTATCCCAGTCAATCTCCAAGGTCCTGGACTGTCCAGGGATGTTCACTCCTGTGTTCTGAAGACCACAGAATCCAAGAAGCCCCCCTAAGCAGACTGCCTCCATCCCATGGCCCATCCGTGCTGACATACAATCAGCTGCCTCGAAGGTTCCCGGAGCCTCTAGTCCTGGCCTGCCAGACCCCTGGCACGAGACATAGCCACCGTCTGCCCAACGTACTCTCCTCTTCTCTCTTCTCCTCCATGACCCCCATCAGTTCCCAGTGAAACGATCATGTCCTTGTGTCACCATTCCATACAACCACTCCTTCAGGATGTGGAAAGAGAAGAGGGCGAAGATAGCAGTGTAGTAGGGTGTGAGGTCTTGAGTATGTTGCAAAGTCGATGGAAGAAGGGTCAGAGGGTGAGAGACTGGCACCTCCAGCCTGCGGCCGTCATTGGAGGGCAGTCCTTGGAGAGGCCAGGGAGGAACACCACACAGAGGGAGGGGCCGCGCTGTAACCAGCAGGTAGATAGCCCCGAGGAATTCGGAGAGGTCCAGGATGCAGTTCTCCATCACCACCTTAAGGAGAGGAGGGTGCTTCTGTTGGGACCTCTCCCCCAATGTTGAGTTCCTGGAGAGACGATCCTGTTTGGAAATTGGGTCTCTGTGTTACATTAACGAGGCCATACATTATAGGAGGAGTCCTCACCCTCATCACTTCAGATTTATACAAAGAGCAGAGCAGTCACAGAGGTGGTAAGTACCTGTGGGAAGGCAGAGCCAAGGAATACCAAAGTGATGGGAGGACCAGAGTAACACTTGGATCTAGATGAATGGTCTCCAGAACTGGCAAACAACAAATACCTGTTAAAAACATATATATGTTGTTGTTATGTGCCATGGAGTCAGTTCTGACTCATGGCGACCCTGGACAGGGTGTCCGAGGCTGTAAATTCTTATGGGAGCAGAAAGCCTCATCTTTCTCCTGTGGAACAGCTGGTAGTTTCGAACTGCTGACCTTGTGGTTCGCAGCCCGATTCGTAACCACTACGCTACCAGAGCTCCATATACGTATGTATGTTTGTTTTTTCCCAGCAGTGTTGTTGGTGGTGATAGTGTACCATGGAGTCAGTTCCAACTCATACTGACCTTGTGTAGGGTTTCCTGTGTAGGGTTTTCAATCTGTAGAGGAGAGGGAGCCTCATATTTCTCTCACAGAGCAGCTAGTAGATTTAAACTTCCGACCTTACAGTTAGTAGCCCACCACGTAACACACTCTGCTACCAGAGCTCCTTTCAGCAGCAGTGGGCGCTTAAATGGGACCATCTGTTGTCTGCCTCGCCCTTTTGGGAACTTGCCTCTTCCGTTTCCGTTTCCTTCTGTAGAAGGATCTGAAATCTCTCAAGAGCCTTGGCTGCTGGGAAGAGGGAGAAGGAGAAAGAACGGTGCACAGGGCACCTGCCCTTTCTGCTCAAAGGCCCCGTGTGTGTGTGTGTGTGTGTGTGTGTGTGTGTGTGTGTGTGTGTGTTGAAAAGAAATGTTTGCATTCGAATTGACAGTTGGTACACTGTGCCACCCTGTGATCCTTCAAAGTTACTTAATTACCGTCTTTTATCCTTGCTCGCCTCTACTTTCCAGAAGAATTGATTGGAGGATAATACTGGCGCTAAAACCAACGTGAAACCATTTCTCAAAAACAGTTGGGAAATCACTACACTGTGATTTCCTTCACATAACAGTGAGAGGCACTCGAAGGTTAGCTACTTAAAGTCTCACATTAGTGTGTGCTTTCTCAAAATGTCCCGCTTGCAAGGGCCTTGCAGCCTCATCCACTTTGGAGAATTGGCAGCGAAGAGACCTCCTCAGCATTGTCTTTTTCTGGGAGAGAGGTCTCCCATGTCTACACCCTGACCGGGTGTTCCGGGGAACTTTTCAATCCCACAGACACCTCTGTACATCTGTAAGTCAGTGAAATCCATTTCCCTCCACCTAGGGAAGGCTGCTCTGCTCTCTGCCCCCTCCCAGGTGGTCCCAACCCAACCTGAAGAGACTGACAGCAAGGAGCCAAAGGACTCCTTTCTGGGAGAGAAAGAGGGACAAGAGGCAGACAAATAACCCATCAGCACCCATTTGGGGAGAGAAAGACCACACACCGACAGCCCAGTGAGCAGTACAGGGGCTGTGCAGGCTTTGTGTGTAGGGTTGTTGTTGTTGTTAAGTGCCGTCGAGTCAGTTCCGATCCATAGCGACCCTGTATAGGGTTTCCAAGGAGCAGCTGGTGAGCTTGAACTGCCGACCTTGCAGTTCAAATGGCCTTGCAGTCTGGCGCATTAACCCACAGCGCCACACCAGGACTCCATATACTGAGGAGATGCTGAAATTGCCTGAGAGAAAGCGTGCCTTGTTGGAAGGTGTTCATTTGGACTCATTCACCTGTGTGACTCGGTCATCCCAGATGTTCATTCTGGTTTAACAGGCATTGCTGTTGTCCTCTGCAGCGTTTGATCACCTCAGCAGGATGGTGAGGAGTGGGTTTCTCTCTCTAGCAAGACAGTTACTAAGCACTGGAAGTATGATATTCCTGTTGGGATGGCAGCCTGTGTCCCAGGAACCATTGGGCTGTACAGTATTCAGAGAGACAGGAAATCATAAATGGATTAGAAAACTGTCCCCCATGCAACTAACGGTCTAAGGTGGTCTCCCCAGTACCAACGGCTGTTGAGTTGACTGTGCTCATGAAAACCCATGTGTATCCGAGACGAATTATGCTTCATCAGGCTTTCAATGGCTGGCGTTTCCTTAGATCAGTAGGTGTTTCTTCTGAGGAACCCTGGGTGGACCTGAATCAGCCATCTTTCGGTTAGTAGCCAAGTACATTAACCATTCGTACCATCAAAGGGCATCGGTAGTAAGACATGTGCACTTGAACTGCTCTGGAGTTTCAGATTTGGGGAGGATTGGGGGAGGCGGATACACAAAGTAGAGGACTCTATAGGCAGACGTGGAGAGTCTGGAACCTTGATGTCAAAACTGAGAGTACATGAAAGGGATTCATAGAATATTTTGGTTGCGATTTTATGGCCCTGGGTTCATTAGAAGAGATGGGCATTTGGGATGGACAGGCCACAACAGTTCTCTAGGAAACTTAATGGGAACAAGGAGAACCAGAGACAAGAGGGAACCAGTACCAGAGGAAGCCAGGGAACGTGACAGATGGAAAGTTATTGCTTATAGTTTTAAACTTAGCTTAGTGAAGAATTTCCAAAGATGGCTTCGAGACACTCACCTGTAATCTCAATTCACGTTTTCTGTGATTTCTGGGAATGACTCCCAAAGAGCACCTCTCCATAAACCTGCTCCCGGATGACTGATTTCTAGCTTGTCTGAGAGACAGGGAATCCTTCCCATGAAGTGTGCTTCAGTCACAGAACTGTCTAAAAGCAAGTAGAATGAATGTAGAGAAAATCGGCATCTTTGCCTGAATGCTGATTGCTTTTTCAGTTCTGATGACTGGTAAAAATAGCACAGCTGCGAATCAGTCTGTGTGGACTTTTGGATATTCTCAGTTATTCCCGGGCCCCATTCTCTCCCCTACTACTTCGGAAAGAGCTGTGTGTGAGCTAACCTTATAGTTCAACTCAGACTCTAAGCCAAACATATATTTCTTCTCTACCCTTCCCTGTACCTTTATGTTGGATTGAAAACGCTGTGTGAACCTAAGCATTTCCCCCAGGTTCCGTGTAGTAAAGTGACTTTTCACACCAGGGAAGGCCAAATTCAAAGGAAACCCTGCCTGCCTTGCTTGCTTCCTGGAGCTGTCTACTCGGAAACCAGACTCAACTGTCTACTGGGAGCCAGGGGGAAGCTGGAGCGATACTTCTGCAAAATATGAGATAAATCTAATTTCCTTCTGTCCATGTCCCAAGGTGTATGGCTCTCATTTTATTTTTTTGTTGTTAAGTGCCATTGAGTCAGTTCCAACTCGCAGTTGGTGGGTTTAAACTGTTGGCCTTGAGGTTTATAGTCCTGTGCTGGTCCTACAACTTTAGAAGAAAGATTTTTCTTTTTTCAGGCAGTAGTTTTTGCCACCCATCCCTGCCAAAAAAGTCAAGTTGAGGGTTAGATATAGGAATAGCTATGGAAGAAAATGGATGCTTAGGATGTTCTCTCTCTCTCTCTCTCTCTCTCTCTCTCTCTCTCTCTCTTTTTCTCTCTCTCTCTGTATGTGTGTGTGTGATTTAGCAGAAAAGTCTTGGCAGTGATTTCCAATGTTGGTTATTGGCATACACTCCATATACTCATAGTGAGTCCAGAGGAGAGAAGGCAGGGACAAGAAAGGTGCTAATTCTTCCTTAATCAGTTCCCTCACCTAAGGAAAATGTCAGAAAAGAGTACCCATGTACCATAACTTTCATGATTATGCTCTGTGGCACTGTAGGATCAACAATGGACTGCAAACCACAAGGTTGGCAGTTCAAACCCACCAACTGCTCTTTGGAAACCCTATACAGGGTCACTATGAGTCAGAACCACTTTGACGGCACTTAACAACAATGACAACAAAGTATATATGTTGGGTCCAAAGACACGTCCAGTGGATCTCCTGCCCACTGGCAGTGCTCTGAGCCTAGAGTGGGTCTCCCAGAGTCCCTCTTTGTCAGCTTGGACTCAGCCTTTGTGTTGGTAGAGAACCCGAGCCCTGCTCACCTGCAGCTGTGAGCAAGCGGTGCTAAGGAGGACACTGAAGAGCCATCTCTCTGACGTGGGGACGCCAAGGGAGACGCCATGTAATTATTTAGACTGGAATCAGTTTAAGCCGCAGAACTGCTAGCACCTTCTTAGCGCCCCCCGGCCCCCCCGAGAGCGCACTACTTGTAAACGTGTCCCGAAAATAATCCAGAAATAACACAAAGATGCAGAAATTGTTTCTTGTTTGAAAAATAACAGGGGGGCTCACAGAAGCATCCACGCAATGTAGATGCACGATTTACGTGCTTGGTACTGATGCGGGGCCGCTACATACACCCTGGAGCAGAGATAGAATCCAAGTATTAGCTGAGGGCAAAGGTAGAGCAGAAAACTAGTAGGGCGCCTACCTGCCTCTGCTACTCTCTGTTTCTGGCAGTCAACAAAAAGTACCTGCTCCACCAAGGAAGTCTGACCCCCAACTCTGGGTGGGCCCTGTATCTGCATTGAGGTCAGAGTTGGGAGGGCGGCCTGAGGTGGCTGTGGCCTCAGGATCCCATCTGTGAGACGGCCTGTAAGCTCAGTGGGAATTTGGGATTCATTCAGTCAGTGACTGTTTATTAGATGCCCAGTCAGCATCCAAATTTTGCCCGCGCAGAACATTATGGGACTTGTAACGTTTTCCCTGTGACCTTACTCTTCTGTGAGGGAGGCCAGGGAGGAGAGAGAGTGCTTGGAAGTGAAGACAGGACTGTCTTGCCTGGGCATGGTGACCCAAGAGAATCTTGTGGAGACTTTTTGGGTTCCAAAGCACCCATCAGTGGAAGGTTTGTGGGCTGAAGGGAGTACCACAGCTCTGGTGGGCTTTCAGGGAAGGGGGGAAACTGATTTTAAAAGGTCACAGTAATAGGATGTGGCCCATCAAGGATGTCTCCACTTCCACAAAACCCACTGCCATCTACTTGATTTGGTTCATAGGGACCCTATAGGATGGACTAGAACTGCCCCCCAGGGTGTCCAGCGCTTTAAGCCTTTACGGAAGCAGACGGCCCCATCGTTCTCCCACAGAGCTGCTGGTGGGTTTAAACCACCAACCTTTCAGTTAGCAGCCAAGTGCTTTTAACCGCAGCAGCACATTGAATCCTCCACCTTCCACGAATCAGCGGGAGAAGAGTGGGGATTCCAGGTCAGCTTTGGCAGCAGCAGTGTGTCTGGGGGTGGCTGAGCCCCACTGGACACCTCCTGATGCTTTATGTTTTTTGCTGTAGGTCACACGCCTAGATCAGCAGCAGGTGACTGAGTCCAGCTCTGGGGAGCCAACTGCTGGCTTCAGCACACAAGGTAACCGCCCCTCTTGCAATCTCGGAAGCGCTTATCTGAAGCAATCTGTTTCTATTTTGCGAAGTGTGTCCCTTTATCTCTTCTTCTCCCCTGATTCTCTTCTCCATTTCTTATCTGTTTAGGGGATGGAATTTGCGATAGCCTTTCCAGTGAAGTACCATATAAACCCTCCACATTGTTTCCTTAGCCCGCCTCCAATAATATCTGGGAGACTCCTCGCATTCTCACTTCAAGGGTATAAATTTGACAAAAACTCTCCTCAATTTGCAGTTTCCATCCAAGACCCTTTCTAAAGCTAAACTTGTAGCAGGCCAATATTCACGCAGTGTCTCTCACAGAAGAAGGGGCTGGTTGAGGAGGGACCCATGGCTGGGTCTCTCTGCGTGCTTCCTGCTACCTGCTGAGGGCAAAGGCTAGCGGATGTTAAAAGACAGATGTGCAATGGCAGACCCCCCACCCCCCAGCCCAGTCACTGGTACACTAACGGTGGATCTACATTACCAGCACAGTGGCAGGGGCTGCACCCAGGTCTTCCAAGAAGTCAGAAAGGGCTAGGTGTTCCCAGAGAGACTTCTTCTTGAAGTCCCCACGTAGGCCTATGTGGGGGCGTTTATTCTAAGACCAAAGTCAGATAACTTAGAAAATGACTAAAGGTCCTAGAAAGGGACACAATTACAGCATCAGCCCCCAAATCAAAGTTAACATCTAGGGGAGGTAGAAGAGGAACATTGTTCCTGTAACCTTTGAGTCTTGATTAGTGTGGGGATTTGGAATTGATCTTCTCCCTTTGGAACTCCAAAGAGTCATAAGAAGTTGTGTCCCAGAAGGGATAGCCTATGCCCTTCCCGGGATATACTCCAGGACTCAGTGCGTCCCAGCTGTTCTGTTACAGAGTGGCCCTTACTGGCCACTGCATTCTAAGGTTTGATCTGAGAGGGCCTTTGGCAGAACCCAAGCGTATTCTAGTCCAATGACTCCTGTTACTGCGTTGATATTAAGTGCCATTGAGTCAGTTCCAACTTAGAGCAGCTGGTGGGTTTGAACTGCCAACCTTGTGGTTCTCAGTCCAATGCTGATCCTGCAGAGCCACACCAGAAGTCTACAATGTCCTTTTTCTGGAGAATAGTGTGGTTGGGAAGGCAGAGCCATCTAGAGGCAATGGGAGAACACTTTTTGTTTGTCCAATCCATACAGTTAGAGAGAAATGGAGGAATCGGAGCGCTCCTATTAGAAATTCTGTAGAGCTCGACCCTCCTCACTGTCTAGAACCTGGGACCCAGGCAGTTAACTATAGATTGACCTAAGGCTTGGGACCCAGCCCTTACAGGTCAGAAGTGCACAGAATAGTTTAACTTCAGTTAAGACAGCTTCTACTGGCTCATTTGTGTAATGGTGTGAAGTTTAGGTCAAGTTACGTTCTTTCTTTCTTTTTCTTTTTTGGCCTGAGGATGTCTGATTGACTGTTTCAGTTCCATTGGTTGAAAAGGGTGTCCTTCCTCCATTGGATTGCTGTTGTATCTTTGCCAGAAATCAGCTGGGTACATTTTCTGAGTTTTCTCTTCTGCTCTGTTGATGTTTTATCTCTCCCTGTGCCAATGGCAGATCCCAGGCCCAGCCACTGGTACACTAAGGGTGGCTCTGTGGTACAAAGTCCTGTGGCAGCAGGTACACCTAAGTCTTCCGAGGAGCCAGGAAGTACTGAGTGTTTCCAGAGAGCCTTCTTGATGAATTAGTCTTGATTACATGAATAGAGACTGTTTTAGCTATTCTAGAAGCCGGACTTTTCCATATAAACCATTGCGTCAGTTTGGTCTACAAATAGCCTTACTGGGATTTTGATAGGAGTTGGATTAAACAACAGTTGCATTCAACAGTCATCATGTTGGGCAGGATTGACATTTTGACTATATTGAGTGTTCTGACCTGTGAAAATACTATGGCTTTCCATTTATCTGGGTCTTCTTTCATCCACGGTTTGTAATTTTCAGCAAATAGATCCTACACCTGTTTTGTTAAGTGGTGGCGAAGTATTTCATTTCCTTTGGAATGATCGTCAATGGTGTATTGTTGTTGTGTGTTTGTTTTGAACTTTTTGTGAGTTGATTGGTGAAGGTTCACAGAGCAGATCATCAGTTTTATGGTGTTTTGTGTTTTTAATTTCCATTTCTGTGTGTTTATTGTTAGTATGCAAAGTTAGTGGAAAAATGAAATGAAAAATTTCCATTAACTTTTGGAGCCACTTCATATGTGACTAATGATGTGACAAAAGCAGATTTATTTTTGTGTATTGATCAGCAAACTTGTATCATCTGCAACCTTGTTGAACTTGCTTATTGGTTCTAGAAATGCTCTTGCCGACTCCGGTTGGGTCTTTCTATTAAACTTTTCATCTGTTAATACAGCAAAGTAGTAACAAAAAATAAACATAAAGAAATTAAATTTAATTTTACAGAAAGTAAAATAGTAACGACCCGGTTTCCGACAAAGCTGGAATGGAGCTGCTAGTCCTGAGTGGTTGCTTATAAATTGGCCCATCTCTTTAGGAAAGCATTTTGGATTGTTGTTAAGTGCTGTTCAGTTGGTTCTGACTCATAGGGACCCTGTATAGGGTTTCCAAGAAGCGGCTGGTGAGTTTGAACCACCGACCTTGCAGTTCAACTGGACCTTGAGATCGAGTGCTTACCCTATGGCGCCACACCTGGACTCCAAGCATTGTGGATAGAGCTGTAAAATTTACGCCTCCGATGTGGTGACCTCACTTCTGGAACTATGCAAGGGGAGTTAATGCGACAAAAGAAAACACTACATATGAAGATTGTTGTTGTTGTTGTTGTTAAGTGCCATCGAGTTGGTTCCAATCCATAGCAGCCATGTATAGGGTTTCCAAGGAGCAGCTGGTGACCTTGAACCGCTGACCTTGTGGTTCAAACCAACTTTTCAGTCCAGCACATTAGCCTACAGCGCCACACCAGGACTCCACATATGAAGACAGTACTAATAAATTACATTACTGAAATTTCAGCATAATCTATTACATATGCTAACTATGTTGTTGGTAGTGCCCTTGAGTTGACCCTGTATAGCGTTTTCAAGGCTGTATATCTTTGTAGAGTCAGACAGTCTCATCTTTCTCCTGAAGAGTGGCCTGTGGGCTGGAATCACTGACCTTGTGGATCACAGTCCAGTGCTTATCTTACGCAGCCACTGTATTCCCTCTAACTAGTTTACTGTACATTAATAAGGAAAAATGCTTGTTATCTGCTAGGTGAAATACCAAAAGTCCAGTATTATGACTTCTGTCAAAACTAGGGTGAGAATATACAAAACAAGTGAATTACTCGTATGGGGCAATTTCGCCTGTGATGTTATACAAGTGCCATCTGTTTTCATTTACATATATGTGTATGTGTAAGTGGAATCCTGGTGTGGCACTGTGGACTAATGTGCCAGACTGCAAAGCCGTTTGAAATGCAAGGTCAGAGGTTCAAGCTCACCAGTTGCTCCTCAGAAACCCTATATAGGGTCACTATGGGTCAGAACCGACTCGACGGCACTTAACAACAACAATATGTGTATGAGTGTGATGGCTTGATGGACTTAGAGCAACATCAGTGGTTTGAGGCCACAAGCCACTCCTCAGGAAAAGGATGGGCTCTCTGCTCCTGCAAAGATTTATGACCTCAGAAGCCCCATACTTGGTGGCTGTGAATTAAACTCGACTCACTGGTACTTAACAACCCAACATGTGTACGTGAGTGTGTGTGTGTGTACACTTGTCTATCCCCACACACCTACATTCAGAGCTGAACACACTTTAGTCTCCCTCTGATTCCATTTCCCTACCGCTGGAATTTAGAAAGAATTTGGGATGAAGAGGAATCAGTCAAAATAAATATTTTTTAATATATTTCTAGGCTTCGTTTATTTGGATTTGCTCTATTTTTAAACTTTTTAAATTGTGCATTGGATGGAGGTTTATATAGCAGATCAGTTTTCTGTTCAATAATTCATACACATTTTGTTTCATCTCATTGATTGCAATTCCAACACACCCACCCCACCCCACCCCACCCCACCCCGGCTTATTCCACTTCCTGCTCGTGTTTCCTGTTTCTATTCCTCCTCTCCTAAGTCTTCGGAAATGTGGCATTAGATAAATGCTGCACTTTTGATCTCAAATGATTTATCAGTCTAAGGTGTGTGCTCTTCCCCTTATAACTTCATGTGTTGTTTGGCTATAAACTGAGTAACATGAGTTCAAGACCCAAATGGTCTTTTTTTAATGAGTTTGAGTTTTTTTCTGTATTTGTTTCCCACTCTATCCAGAACCTTCTAATATGATCCTTTCTTATGTTTGTGTAACCAGGAACATGATTCTTTATTATTTGCTGCTGATTAGCCCATATTCAGAGACAGGACTTAGCACAGAAAGCACAGCATTTATGGAGCGTTGATATCATGAGAACAGGGGAGTGGAAATCTCCCAGGCATCTTGGCCATAGGGTAGGTGATGGAGGAATTTCAGAAATGTCTTTGTTGCTTTATTGATCTCCAGTCACACTGACCATGTTGGACGTGTTGTCTCTAAGAGTTTTTTTTCCCCAATAGTGGTTATCAGTGGTCTTCAATAGTGGTTATCAGTGGTCTTCACCAAAAATGTGTTGCTGTTTTTCTCCCTTCCTGGGATATTCTTTGGAGTGGGGATTGGCTACCAATTAAAAGAAGAATTTATTAGTGTCAAAAAAAAAGAGTTTCGGTATGAGGTAGTAATTGACTAAGACAAGCAATTGGGGGAAGAAGCTACATTTTAATGGACTATCCAAATTCCAGTTTACTTTGGAGAAGCTGAAACTTCCCCTATGCCTTTAGTTTCTCATGCCCCATTTCAGTTCCCCCGTTTTGCTGTTCATTTATCAATTTTGGGAAGTGGGACATTGCTCTGTCTGGCTGCTTCTGCTGAATGGGGACGCGGAGGGATGAGAAATGAATGTAATATGACA